TATCTATCTATCTATCTATCTATCTATCTATCTATCTATCTATCTATCTATTGTTTTTGTGAGCTTAAAGTTCTTTGAGGTCAGTAAAGAAACTCCATTTTTCTTGCTTATTTCATGTATCCTACCATTGAGCTATTTATTAAAGCCCTCTTTGTACATAGGACTATATCAGGTAATAAAGGAAGCTACTGTACTTTGGCATAGGAAGTCCTAAACAAATATTTGTGGGTGGATAAATTATACCCCTTCTTTTAGCAAGTAGCCTGCTTATTTAAGAGGGGAGCATAAAAAGACTTTTAGGTTCTCTTATTTTTAGCTCGTTTGACCACAGAAATCCTATAATTTTTAAATAGACCCCAGGAGTCAACCGTAGGAAGTTTCAACAAATGGGTCTCAGATGGATTTTATTATATATTCACTTGTTCATATTCTTGAGACTTTAATGCCACTTTTGTAATGGCTGCTAAAGGAATGTTATTGCCTTTTTAAACTATACATTTTATCCCTCAGTTTGACATAAAATGCTATAAATAAATCAGATGGAAAAATATTTAGCTACTTGACATCTATAATAACAGGGGGAGGGTGTCTCTATGATGCTAGATTTATAAATAGGCAGAGGTTCCCAGATTTGGTTATTATCATTTAATTGCACAAACTTCTGTTGAGGGTTTACATCATTTAGCTAACAAATATGTCCATAAAATAAGCATTATAATAATATAATACGTATTCAAGAAAATGAATAAATGTCACTGTGACTATTTTGTTGAATTGCAACAAACAATAAATGGTATAGTCCCAGATGTTTACTTCAATTGGCCCTGAAGGGATGGATAGGCTGCTGGGTAATCACCATGGTTACTGATGCACTCTTTATGAGGGAATGGTACTGAGACAAAATGGTACCATCTATCATATAACTCCCATCCATCATAATGTACAGCAGGGATGCTCAACATGCAGGTTTGGGTTTACAGAGACTGCTGATTTTTGTTTAAAGTAAGGATGGTTGGGGATGTAGCTCGCTTGGTAGAATTCTCTAGGCTAGCATGCATGAAACCTTGGGTTCAAAATCCTATACCACATAAACACAAAGTGGTGATCACACACACAGCATTTGCAAGGTAGAGGCATGAAGATTGGGAGTCCAAGGTCATTCTTGAGTACATAGCCAGTTTAAGGCTAGCCTGGAACACACACTTTATCTTTAAAAGGGAGAGGATAAAAGGAATATCTTTAAAAAGAAAATATTATTTTAATTGTGTCTGATTGTGTGTGAGAACTTGCAAAGCCAATTTAAGTCTCTGAATAACACTCCTTTCTTCCAGAGAGGATTTACTTTCTGCTTCTATTAGTTATCTAGGCTAAGGGCAGATCTCCTAAATCCAGCTGAGGATGGAAATAATTCTACTTCAGGCTCTATTCCTTTTGAGAGCTGGCCTTTGCAAAGAATTCTGGAAGCCCTGTGCAACTTCTCTTCTCTCAGCCTTTTGACATTCAGCAAGCATCTTGTGAGAAAGAGCAGTCTCAGACGATGGTCTCCTTCTTCCTCTGGCTCTTAGGCGCCTTGCCTCCCTGCCTCCCTGCCTCCCTGGCTTTCAGCACTGACACACAGGTGGCTTGCTCTTTGCTTTTCTTCCCTTACTCTTGGGAGGCTTGCTCTGAATCAATGGCTAGAAGCAGAAGAGCTCACAGCCCTGTTCTGTTCGCCAATGTCACTTTACCTGTCCTTTAGCAAAGTAGCTTAGATTGATCTTTAATGGCTCAATATCCAGTATCTTCTTGTTCCCATCCTGTCTATATAAGCAGGTCTCTTGAAATTTAACTATTTCCACTCAGACTTAGCTCATGATTGTGCAACTTAAAGTCTAGTCTTGAATTGGACAGTGTAAACACAAAAATATCTTAGAGCTCAAACAGTTAAACTGAGTCTATATTCCTTACATCAGGTGAATAAAATGCCCAACAAAACCCATTAAAGTCAAGAATCAATCTCTCCTCTCTCTCTCTCTCTCTCTCTCTCTCTCTCTCTCTCTCTCTCTCTTTCTTTCTCTCTCTCTCTGTGTGTGTATGTGTGTGTTTGTCTTTCTGTCTCTCTCTGTCTCTTGTTTCTCTCTCTCCTCTGTCTCTCTCTGTGTCTCTGGTTTCTCTCTCTCTCCTCTGTCTCTCTCCCTCCCTTCCTCCCTCCCCACCCTCTCTCTCTGGCTTACAGTCACAGATGGTTTGGTTAAGGGCTCCACCTCGTGCTCTGGATGGAGCATCGTGGTGACTGGGGCACTGGTAGAAGCATTTCTTCACCTCATGTCTGACTAGAAGCAGAGAAAAAAGAGCATGGACCTTCAAAGACATATTACCTGTGACCTACTCCTCCCAACCAGGTCCTTCCCCTAAAGTTCTTAGTATCTCCCCTCCCTGACCAAGCAGCAAGGGCGCTGAGAACCTAACACTCAATGTGTACGTTTGTAGAGAACACTTCTTACTAAAACCACAATGGAGCCTCTCATCCTGAAATGACAGGGAGAAAAAAGGCCAATGTGGGAGGATGTCCTATAGGAAACCATGACATGTGCATGTCTATCCAGCAGCAAATTCAGTGACCCTCCTGTCTCCACTTTCCACAGCACTGGGATTAGTGCTCAGGACCACACCCACCTTATGATATGGGCTCTAGGTATCTGAACACAGCTCCTTAAGCTTAGACAGCAAGCACTTTAAGCCCCGAGCCATCTCCTCAGTCCAGTTGTTTTTCTAAAGCAAAGCATCATGGGCGAATCTCTTCCTTCTATGCTTTCTCAAATGTCCCTGGTGCTATAGCATTTTATTTACAAGATAAATATTGAGCAACTGGAAATGACACAAAGAGCTGACATCAATCTAACTCACAGTAAACGGCATAATAAAAGCTTTCCCTTGGACTTGGATTTCTTTGGAGTTGATTCCAGTAGCAAAATTATGAATGCCTCTATCAGTCATTGGGGTAGAGTACTCACAAGATTGTAGAGTTTAGCTGCACTGATTGACAGTAAGCCCTTCCCATTTTTCTTTTTAACAACTTGCTGCCTTTCTCCCCTAAAAATCAAAGGAACAATACATGTTTTCACTCATATTATTTATGAAAATTCATTTTTTTTTACCTAAAATTGTCATATTCTTCTGCTTGCCGCTTCCATGGACATCTCTGTATGTTTGTGATGATCTGAAGGTAGTCATCCTCTGAGTACCTAGGAGTTTAATATTAACATGATTAGACAAGAAAGTCTCACTTCTAGAAGCTCCTTGCTTTAGCCCTGAAATCAAGCAGAAATCATTAAATGTCAGACTTGCTCCTGAACATCTAGGAACATACAGCTTGAAAATTAGTATTACTACTGTTATTTTTGTTGTTATTCTTATTATTATGCTGGTTTATGAATATGTATACTGCATATTTCATAAGCCAAGTTCATCATTACAAACTGAATATTTCTTTCTCTATGTCTCCTTTTCTCTGTCTCTGTTTGTCTTACTCTCTTTCTCTCTCTCTCTCACACACAAAAGCAACTTATATTAAGTTTAACTCTATAGCAGATAAATACTTTTTAAATGTTTAGCATGAATATATAGTTGATTTTTCAGTTCCTAAGTTAACAGCTTAACATTGGAATATGTAGTTAGGACCCTACACATACATACATACACATACAAACACGAACAAAGACACACACACATGTAATCATCTGGTATTAATTTTCTGCAATACATAAAAACACCAGATTGGGCTATGGTGAGAAAGCTGCATACAGGCATAAAGAGCTATAGAGAGTCACACAGTCTGATAGGATAGCATGGAACAAAAATCCCAGCTCCCTTAGCTCTCTCTCAAGCTGAAATTCTACCATTAAGTATTAATTTCTAAAGCAGAGAATGCTGTTTCATCTTTAAGGGTATTCATTTGAAATGCAAATATCCCTCTGAATTGAAAAAGAAAAAAAAATCCAAACCACCTTGAGTTTTCTTTCCATTTGGCTCTCAGCCACGGTTACCAGCCATTAAACATCAAAGTTGTGCAACACACATGCACACACATACACACACACACACACGCACGTACATACACACACTCGCACACACTCACATACATGCACATACACACGAACATATACACACACACTCACACACACACACACATACACACTGGCGTGGGGAGGGAATGTGTTGGTCAGTGTGTAGAGAAGAGAAAGGCGAGTGCACATTCTTGCCTGGGAGAATGGGATCATTACCCATGTGAATGCAATGAAGAGTCTGCAAGGTGAGCTGTAAAAGGAAGCATTTCTGACAGGTGGGGGTGTAGTCAACCACAGAACTCCTTTGTAGCTGGAATTTCTTTCCTCTTGGGTTTGCAACAGGAATCAACTGTTTCCCACTGACTCTGCAGATGAACCCTGATAAATCTCCCAAGAACACAGTAGATATTGAAAGCAAAACAAAGAGTTTCCACCAGAAGGATTCAAAATAGATGTAAGCACAGCAGACTCAGATCACTCCGTGGGACTGGTACTCATTTTAATACTCTAAGTCACAAGAACTCCATGCTGTGACCCCTAAACTGTCTAGAAGAGATGTTTCCTGGCTGAAGCACAGTGCCTGCCTCTACAGGATTGAAGACAACCAAAAACCTTTTGCAAATGACAATTAAACTAAAACTGAAAACAACAACAACAACAAAACACCCATCCAGCAACTTACCTAAAACACTCTAAACTCTGGATCCTTAAGAAAAAGGCACTGCTATGACATCTCTCCTGTCTAGAGAAGTCTAACTAATTACCAAGACATGGCTTTAAATGTTGTCAGAGTGTTATTGGGACAATCAGATCAATGTACAAACAAGAGCCCACAAACCAAAGTAAGCAAACGGATTTTGTTCACTAAACTTCACCAAATAGAAAGTGTATGGGAGAGGAAGGCCAAGCACTTATTTAACTAAGTCAATGAGAACTGAAATTGCATTTGAAGTCAATATAAAGCATAATTGGAAGATAGAAGAAATAGGAAGTTATTGTCTTATTGTCAGAGTAGATGTATCAGAGCTTAAATTTTATTGGCATGCTATTTATAAGACAAGAAAAATGAAAGATTTTATGATGCATGGCTTAAATTAGCAAACTTGAATATTAAACAATAAAAGCTATTGAAAATTAAAAACAAATGGGGAAAGCTTAGTGAAATATGAACAAGGAGAGCCTTGTAGTGCAAGCCCAGGATTCCAGTAGGCAGGGGTCTGGAGGCACAAGGACCAAGAGTTTGAGCTGACCCAGGCTCTATAGCAAGACACAATACTGTTTTAACCTATTGACAAGTAAATATGAACTTTTAAAAGAAGAGGAAAATTAGCAGCAGACAACCTCAAGTGGTTTGATATATGTATAATTACAGTCCTCATAAGAGAGAGGAAAAGCATCTTTGAAGTCTGATGGGATCTATCAACAAAGCTAATGAAAACTGTAAATCACAGACCTGAGAAGGTCAACAAACACAAAAATACCAGAAACCTGAGGAAAGCAACATCGTAAGAATGAATTCTTAGTGGCAGCAAAGAGAAAAATCTTAAGTGTAATGAAATAAAACACTATGCCTGAAGAAACAAAAGCCTGCAACATGCTACTTGTTAGAAAGAACAGGAGTTGAAAGGCAGGGGACTAATGACATAAACTGCAGAATGTGGGTGAGGGAAGGAAAGCCCATTCTAGAATTCTATACTCAGAAAATCCTTCAAAAAAAAATGAAGGTTAAAAATAATGACATCATCATCAGCAATGTCAGAGGGAGTGTCCAGGCAGAACAGCAATGAAGGCAAATTGGTGTCTGAGTTGACAAAGTGTAATGAAGAGCTCCAGAAATAGAATATGTAAATACACATAAGCATACACAGGAACCGTTTTCTTACTCTCCTACGTTTCTTTAAAAGGTACTTGGATTTGGAAGATAGCTCAGTGAGTACAAAGCTTGCCTGGCAAGCATGAGGACCTGAGTTTGATTCCAAGAACCCAGGTAAAAATGACAAGGCGACACACGTGTTTGTAATTATGGCAGGAAGGTGCAGACAGGAGGGGCCTCGGGGATTGGTGGCCAGACAATTCAGCCTATCAGGTGAGATCAAATCCGTGAGAGAACCCATCTAAAAGGAGGTGGACCATATTCCTCAGGATGATATCCTCAGGATGATCACTGTCCTCTGGCATATGCATACTCCCTGCTCCCACTCTCCGGAATTTCCCAACACACATTTGTTTTTTAAATAAAGAAGCAAAAAAAAAAAAGATTGACAGTTTAAAGATAGAAATAGCTAGAAATGGTTGTAGTACTTGCAGAATAAATATGATGACAATTATGAAATAAATTGTGTAACAATTTGAATCATTGTTGATTCAAACAAGAACAGAGTGGTAGAAGCTAGAGCCGAAGATGTATAAAGCATTTGAAAGTAGACTGCAGTAGGAAAAGAAATGTTTGCTCTCTCTAAAGTAACCAGTGAGAAACAAAGAAAGCCACACAAATGTTGTCCTAAAAATATTCAAAGCAAGAGGAGGCAGATAAAAGAAGCAAAAAACAGGCAAATCAAAAGCAAATTGCAAGAGGGTGGTGTCAACACTATATGAACTATAACATTAAGCGTAAATAATATAGATATACCCATCAGAAGGCAGAAAACGATGAACTGAAGTCTTTAGAAACCAACATCATCCAAACAAGAAAGTGTGTAAAAGAAACAGAAGAATGATAACCACAGTAGAGATAATGAAAACAAAATTTGACTGACTATAGTCACAGTAGAGTCCAAACAAGAAAAAAAATCACCATATAAAATTAATATTCATGAGCAAGGACTCTTGTGAAAATAGTGTAAGATCAGAAATAAAACATATAAACCTGTTGTTATCCTGGCCAAGGAAGAGTGACAGAAGATACAAATGAGTAATACTGAGAATGAGAACCTAGAGAGCAATAATGATAAAACAATAAATATATCAACAACAATTTGACTGTCTTAAACTCAATGGAGTCGGTTTTTTTTTACTTTAATTACTAAAAGGTAAAACTACCAAAACCCACTCATATAAAAATAGTTCATGAATACTATCTCTGCTGTTTTAAAACTATAATGAAAACAATTTCTGAAAAGAAAACATGTACACAAACATTTTAGGACTGTGAATACAAACTCCAAGAAACCTGAAGGGCTGGTTATCTCCCAACTTACTCTATAAGAACAGTGCTGCCCTGATCCCAAAGTCCAAGTAAAAATATTGTTTTAAAATGTATAAATATCCTTTAAAAGCATACATACAAAATTGTTCAACAAAAGCTTTGTGAATTAAATCCGGTGCTAAACAAGAAGAAGAAGGTTCCATGAACAAGTTGGGTTATGTATCAGAAATGCAAGGTTAGTGGTGAGATTAGCAACCAAAGCAACTCACTAAGATTAATGTAACAGCAAAGATAAACCCAGTCATCATTTTAACACATGAGAATAAAAACAGCGCTCAGCCCTGCCTAACATTCAACCCCACAAAAATTTCAAGAGATTAAAAAAAAAAACAACAACGGAATTTTCATAGTTCAATGATAAGAACTCACAAAAAGAGTCTATGGCTGAGATCATACTTCATGGCCAATGTTCCCAAGGTAAAGAACATGGGAGGATGACAGTGTCTCCAGCTGTCATCCACTTGCACTGGAGGTCCAATCAGCACAATAAGGCAAGAGAAAGAAGCAAGGCCACCCTGCCTTGAAAGAAGGAAGTAAAATTGTCTCTACCCAGAGATAACACGATCATCTCCAGAAAACCTGCTAAAATGGGTAACAGCCAATCTGAGTTACAAACTCAGCTCACTTAATAAGTTACATTGGAAGTAAAATTAATAATATTTACTTTCATTGTACAACAGCCTGAACTGATCAGAACTAGGTCCAAAAATATTCCCGTGTAGATGAACATTAAAAACCATGAAATATGGGGGAATAAATTTGATCAAAATCGTGCCAGGCTTATGCATAGAAAAGTATGAGATAGTGTAAAGAGAAATTAAAGAAGTAAATGGAGCCATATCCCATAGCCATTAGTTAGAAAACTTGAGATTGTCGATTTTCAACTTTATTGAGAAATTTGGTGAAATTAAATAAAAATTTCATCAATGTTATGTTATTTCTTAAAATAAATTAGAACTAATTATAGCACTCT